CTGGAACAACTAGTACATACGTGGAGAAAAACTTTCCCCGATAACAAGGTCGGCCAAAAAAGAGGGACGAAGTACTAAGACAGCCCCTATTCGGCAACCCATGGATTCTGGACGAATACGGGGAATCCCTCCCACTCAACAAAACAAACTCCAAATGGGGCCTATGGCTGGAAAACACAAGCGGTTAACAGGGACCCCCACTTTTCAGCCCTGGTTAACCCCCTCAAAAACACACTTTTGCCTTGATGTTTTATAGCTTTTTAAAGTTCTTTTTTCAATTTTGTTTTTGTAAGTGGTTAGTATGATCTCCACTCTATGAATTGGTGGCAAGTTTGGTTAAAATGACCCTTGGGTTTTGTTATAAATGGCCTAACAAGTGGTCTGAAAATTGAGACCTCCGTTAACCATCTCTCGTTCAATTCAGAACGTCAGAGTCTTCAGACCACACTGGCAGCACTGTCAGTGCTCTCTCTCTCTCTCTCTCTCTCTCTCTCTCTCTCTCTCTCTCTCTCTCTCTCTCTGCCCCCAACGGGCAGCAGCGGCGGGCGCCACGTCGAAAAGGCCGCTTTGAAATTGCTCGGGGCTGTGTGAAACCCGCCACCTCAAAAACCTGCAGTGTCTTGTGTCTGGACCTCGAGGCCATGTCCGGTGGGGTGAAAGGACACTTAAAAATCACCCCGTTATTTTTCGAGGGGCGGCTAGGACCCGACAAACGTCCTGGACCGCCCCTTTTTTTTTTTTTTTTTTTGCCCCAGTGCCCTCCATCCGGACACACATGGGGACCGGACACCGGACACCGGACTATCTGGAACCCGGTCCGGACGTCCGGGCGGTTACCATGGTCTAAACTTATCAGCCTGTTTTTTTTTTTTTTTTTTTTTGTTGAAAACAACGGAACCTTAGGGTTCTGGCCCCTTTTCCATTCTGGGGGGCATCAGTCCGGTTCCTATTCCACGACCGGCAAGTCAGAAAGGGTTACAATATATACTCACTCACGCACCTCCCCCTCATGGTGTGGAGGCCCGAAGGACGGCATTGATTACCTCACGGCAGAGGGATGTACCCCTCTTCACCCCAGCCTAAGTTAGCCTGTTCTTCTACAGAACCTATTTTGGAGCTAAAACCCTGGACCCCCGATGACTGTAGTGTGTCTTTATGGTCTGTCCCTGTCAGARTTTTCTGTGTTGAAGCTGTTGAATATRCCTATAGTTWCTATGTGGGGTAGTTTGGGGGGGGGGGGGGGGGGGGGGGAGGGGGGGGGGGGGGGGGGGGGGGGGGGGGGGGGGGGTTGGGTTTTGGGGGGGGGGGGGTGGGGGTGGGGGTGGGGGGGGGGGGGGGGGGGGGGGGGGGGGGGGGGGGGGGGAGATGGAGAATGAGGGGGTCTGTGCGGTGGTGAAGGTTTTGTGATTCTGAGACGAGGGGCTTGGGGCTATGGGCTAGGGCCGGGGGTGCGAGGATAATTGTGATAAGGGAGGGACTGTGTTACCGTTGGAGGGAACGGATTTAGTTGTTGGGAATTTCTTAGGTGTGTAGGGCCGGGGGTGCGAGGATAATTGTGATAAGGGAGGGACTGTGTTACCTTTGGAGGGAACGGATTTAGTTGTTGGGAATTTCTTAGGTGCGTAGGTGCACAATGTGGAGGATCTCAGGTGGTATCCTGTTCTGTTGTGATTAGTATGTGTGTGGGTGGGTTGGCTTGGGGGGTGTATTGGGGTGTAGGCTGTGCGTTATTAGGGTTTTGTCCTTGACTGGTTGATGAGGGCCAGATTAACCAATTAGAGAATTTTATTCTGTCTCGTTCGATTGACCCTAATTTGCCACTGCCTAGCTTGTCGATTGAGAATTTTTTGATACTTTGTTCTTTTTTGTCCGGTAGGATCTGGATTTGCTTTAGGGTTTCTTTCCATAGTGCTAGAATTCCTGTTTCAATTCTGTTTGATGACAATTAGGGGTGTCTCTGACGGGGCGTGGTGATTGTTAAAGGTTAGATGGCAACGCCTTTTCGGTATGGCCCATAGGGTGCCTTTTCTGATTAGCAAGAAGAGGAAGTAGTCGAAACCTTTTAGTGTTGGGGATTGACTTGAGTGAAGGAGTATGGTAGAGGGTTTAATGAGTACGTTCTATTGGATAGAGAGTTCCATTAGAGTTCTATGTCAAGCCACAACTGTTTTGCGTGTTCACAATCTAAGAAACAATGATTGAGAGACTCCTCGGATTGTGTACTACATACCTTGCACCAGGTTGATTGGTCTGTTCTGCTTTCCTTACTTCTTCTCTGGGCAAGCCATTGATTTACTGGGACTGCTCTGAATGCTATGGGCCAGAGGAGGTTGGCCAGTTTGGCCGGTCGAGCGCCGAAGATTGTGGGCCAGTGTGGGTGTACAGTTGATCCTTTGAGAGTGCTCTCATGCTTTTCCAATCTTTTTTTAATTATTGTTGAGATTGGCTGAGGTTTGTTGAATAATTTATATCCAAGACTTGGTGTGTAGTCTGTTAAGGCATGTCGCCTAGTTGCGGGTGAAAGTATACTGGGGGTGCTCCATGACCATCCTGTAGGGTCTATTCCTAAGTGTTATATTGCTGTATCCGGCTTGTATGCTCCATTTATTTCCCCTTCTATGATTCTGACCCTTCTGATCTTGTCTATTCTGAAGGCGCCTTCTGCTCTAGGGTCTTGGGAGATAAGACTTGCAGGGTTATCTGGCTCCTCTAGTGAAAAGATGGAGCAGAGGATCCATTTATTGTGGTGGAGTTCTGGTTCTAAAATTTTAAGTACCTCCTGAGGTTGCCCTTGATCTATGGTTGCAGCCCAATCTCCCCAGAGCGAGAGCATCCTGTCGATGGAAGTACCCTCTCTCTCCGCTTGTGTGTTGACCAAAAGCGTGAGATTCGTTCGATATTGCTCATCCTGTCGATGGAAGTACCCTCTCTCTCTCTCTCTCTCTCTCTCTCTCTCTCTCTCTCTCTCTCTCTCTCTCACACACACACACACACACACACACACA